TAATTAAACTCGGCATTTGTATTTTGTCTTTATTGAGCTTTATTTATCTAAGCATTTGCAATAACTTGAAAACGTTTTATTTCCGATCATCTCGGACTGTAACATTTTACAAACACATTTACCGATCAGCACACACATGCTTCTTTAAGCCGAGTACAATACTGGGAAGCGCCGTAACATCAAATATCGCTTATTTTGATGTGCTGCCTTCGCCTGGTGGTGAGCTGCAGTTACTGGCACTCCGCCTGGCTCACACTGCGGCTGAGCGGCGAGGTCAGGGCGGAGTGTCTGATCTGGCAGGAGTAGGAGACCCCGGAGCTCCACTGCGCCGCCGTCACGGTCAGTAGGCTGATGAGCGAGTATGTGCCATCGGATCGCCGCTCCGGCACGGCGGTTTGCACCTCGCTGCCCGTCCGACTGCTGCCGCCTTCGGTCCACGACACGGCGGCCGTGTCTGGGAAGAAGCCCTGCGCCATGCACACCAAAGTGGCCTTTCCCTGAGACAGTTCAGTCTGGGACGGCGGCATGAGGCTCAGCGATGGGGGAGACGGGGAGCGACCTGCCGGAGGACAAGCGAGGGAGACCGATCCGTCAGCTCCGTGCAGTGCAGTACTAAGAGCTTACAGTTAACCTGAATGGTAGTATTACAGGGGACGAAAAATACTTTTGATTAGATTGTTAATGTAAATTACTTAATTACACGGCGATATAAAAATATACATTATTAATCTATTTTAAAAAGAGTAAAAGAGGGTTTTTGAGGACATTATATAAAGTTGTCCATTTTCAGTTAGATTTCGAGTGGTTTAAGTCAGGGACTTTCAAGGAGCACTATGACTATCAAACAACAACATATATCGTTTCATTCAAATGTATTTTATATTTAATTTAATTTCAAAACACAATCTAATAGATGATTCTTAAGCAGAAACGAAGGTCTGCACCTGTTGAATTAATGCAGTCATTCCTGATGTATAGTAAAATATAAAAGTTATGTATTTTACACTAAGTTATGACTGATTCTACAAATGAGCCACTTTAGATTTATAAATGACAAACAGTCAGTTGCATATTCGCAATTTGAACATGAATTTGAATCTAGAGGAAAAACAAACTCGTTAGTATTTCAGAAATTTAGTTAAATTGCTAATTCAGAATCATCAATAGCGTACATGTCAGATAAAATATAACAACAATTTTGTAACCTCTTTTCTGCCACTTTTCTGTCCCAACACACGTCAGAGGATTAATACCGATAAAACCATAAATGTGTTAAAAGAAGAATAGAAACAAGTAGTACAAATATATTGCACAATGCATTGATACTGAGTAGAAAAGCGATCCCTTATGACCCCCACCACTGCTTCTGATGTGAGATATTTAACTTACCGACATTCAGCATCGTGCCCCCACCAAAGCCAGTGTCTGACACAGTGATACAGAGCCTAACAAAAACCATCAGTCGTGTACA